CAAAAACTCTTTTATGGACACTCAAATCTAATTTTTTGTAATTTTCATGTATCACAAAATACTAGTCTTCCTTTGTTTTGCTTCTGCCCTAATCATTTAAAAATGTAAACCCATTTTTTGCTTGTAGGCTTCACAAAAATAAGCAGAGCAAAATTTGGCTCAATGGCCATACATAGTTTGTCAACTCCTGCTCTAAAGATATAAAAGAGAATCATTATCCGAAGGCACATACATCCCACAGGACAGAGTTCTACACCTCTGCCCTAGGTGGCTAGGACACAATAGGTAGAGGTGTACTTCACAGAGTGGAGCTTTTCTATTTTATTTCCTTTGAGGGCTCTCCTCTTTTACTCTCCTGTTTGTGCTAATCTACATTATACTCTCCTGGGCAACTGCAGCTCATCCCAGGCTAACCACCTGAACCTGTCTCCAGGGTCCCTTTCTCAGACTCTCCAGTGGGCTGACAGCAGCCCCACCTTGGCTCACATGTCACTGTGACTTTTATTTCTCAGTGAGCCTAGGCTCGCTCCTATTGCTTCTTTTATCTTAGGTCCTTCTTTGTTTCCCTGTCCCCAGCTTTAATAAACGTAACCTCAAAATAAAAAACTAAATAAATAAAATTAGCAGAATGACTATAAAACAAGAAACTTCAAAAATGTGGATTTTAATCTCCATTGGCAACTAAAATACATGAGAATAGATAGAAATACGAGGGTGATGTTATTAGAACATAAAAGATACTCAAAATTAGAAAACACCTGTTTATTCATGACCCTTTCAGACCACAGGTGCTTTGATATTCCAAGCATTCAATTACAGTGACTCAAATTCCAGCAGAGCCAGGCAGTACTATACTTGAAAAGTAATGTCAAAAACAGTATGGAGGTTCCAGCAATTCTACTTCTGAGTATTTATCTGAAAGAAATGAAATAACTATCTCAAAAAGATATCTGCACACTCCCATGTTCACTGCAGCACTATTTACAATAGCCAAGACATAGAAACAACCTAAGTGTCCATTTACAGATGAATATATAAAGAATATGTGGTGTGTATATATACAGTGGAATATTATTCAGCCATAACAAAGAAGAAAACTCTGCTATTTATGACAGTGTGGACGGAACTTGAATGAAGTGGACGGAACTTGAATGAAGTAAGTCAGAGAAAGACAAATATCGTATGATCTTATTTATATGTGGAATCTAAAAAAAATAAAATACAGAGAACAGGTTGGTGGTTGCCAGAGGTAGGGAGGGAGTGGGGGCTTAGTAAAATGGGTAAAGGTGTTCAAAAGGTAAACTTCCAGTTATAAGGTCAAAAAGTCCTGGAGATGTAACACACAGCATGGTGACTAGAGTTAATAATATTGCCCTGTAGTTTTGAAAGGTAGGAAAGTAGTTCTTAAGAAAAGTTCTTATCACAAGAAAAAAATGTAACTATGTGTGAAGATGGATATTAATTAAACTTATTTTGGTAATCACTTAGCAATAAGTATATATATCAATATCATTTCAAACTAGTACAATATTATGTGTCAATTATATCTCAATAAAAAAGTAATGACAAAAATGTCACTGCATATAATAACTAGTATAAAATACTTTCAATGAATAGGAAAAAAATCTTAATGCTTTCAAAGTGTTTGACACAGAATAACTGAAGACAAAGTTTGGGGTTTTATCTTTCAACAGAGAGCTGACTAAAAAAATAGTCATTTTTCAGCACAAGAAGAATAGATTAACTTTTTGGTTTACAAAGCTTTTAAAGAACTGGGCCTCTTTTTAAAATGTGTATTCCATAGGACTAAAACTAATTTAAGAAGAAATTCATCCACCAGAGGGGGCCCTTACAAAACAGAAGAAATAAAATGTTAACAGCAATCAATGACATACAAATTGAAGGTTAGAATACATCTTACAAAGCAAAATTCTTTAAGTCTATGAATTCCATATAATCACATGTAAATTTTTTATTGCTATTTTTGATAAAATCAAAATTTTCATCATTGCAATGGGCTCCAAGACTCATTTGTTCATGTGTCCATAAGCTGAACAAATTATGTATGAAAGCTGTAACCCAGTCACCCATAGCAAGTCAACTAGAGAAGTAATATTTATCCTTCCACTAAACTGCAGCCCCCCTCTCCTTATTTTAAGTTAGTTTTAAAGTCAGTCACAATGTCAACAGTCATTTTGAAATAGTCACCTAATTTTGGGTCTAGTGTTCTAGTAAAGCCCACATCACCATTCATAAACTCCCTCTCAACATTTAGCTACAGAAATTTTCTACGTCTACCTTGAGGCCAGTAAATTTACATTTATCAAGAAACAATAACCATTATTAGCTACCTATTAATTAGAAATATATTAATTTTTGAAAATAACATTTATTAAGTACTCAATAAATGTAACATTATCACATGTATACCTCACAACTCCATGAGGTAGAGGCTATTATTATCCCCACTTTACAGATGAGGGTATTAAGGTTTAAAGGTCTCAATGCTAGTAAAGAGTGGACCACAAACTACAAGAATAAGTACTATGCTGTACCACAAATAAGAAAATTGAAGTTTTTATTGAAGTAATTATAGATTCACATACTGTTGTTTAAAAAAAAAATACACTTTGCCTGGTTTCCTACATTATGCAAAACTACATTATAATCTTGCAAAAAAGGGTACTACTGATAATGATACAATCTACCAATCTTGTTCAGATTTCTAAGGCATTTTTAACCAGCCAATATATCTTTTATTCTATGTATATTTCTGAATGCTCTATATAAAATTATATGTCCCCCAATTGTTTTTACCTCTCTTAACTAGTCTTCACTTATCATTTAATCTCTTTTCAAGAAATTTTAGGGTTTCTCATTGTTTTGTAGTTATATATCTCAACACCCTATTCTCTCTATGTATGTAAACTTACTGAGTTCTATTCTAATTGCTCCAGTATATGGGCCTTGGAGTCTAGAATTCTGGCATTTAATCCCAGCTCTGCTATGTACTAGTTTAGGCAAAGCATTTAACCTCTCAACATTTCCATCATCTGAAAAATGGGAATAATAGTACCTACCCTCAAAGAGTTGTTGAAGATCAGTTTTCCTGCAAAGTGGTTAGCACAGTACATGGCACAGAGTTCGGTCCTCACTAAACTTTAACCATAATTTACTATTCGCTCACCAAGACTTTTCAAACAGCAAATCCATCCATTCCAAACTCTTAATATGCTAACCTTACCTATTTGGTCATTAATTCATTAAAAATGTACTGTTTATATATATAAAAAAGATAAACAGATGAATCATATATATAACTGTTCTTCACAAGTACACAATTATTAAATTTTAAGGTAGATAGCAACAATGTCAAAAAAACACAAGGGTACTGTTAAAGTTCTCTGGCACTTTTGATGATAGAAGTAACACATGACTTTACTAAAGAATTTATTCTTTAGAAAAATAAATGGAAAGACATGGGGTAGGAAAGGAGTAGAATGTAACATTTTCTAGAGTAAGAACATAAGGGCAACTAAAGTACCAAGAGAAAAGAAAGGGCTTGTACAGGACATAGCAAACAGTTCAGGCTAGCTGCACTGAAGTGTATCTGTAAAAGAAATAATGGAAAATAAGACTAAAGACTGGTCCTGAAAGGTTTTGAATCCAAGTCCAGAATCTGAATTTCATTCTGTCTATAATAAAAAGCCAAAGATTTATGAGTAGTGAAATTAAGAGTTCATAATTGTATAGACTGTACTGGTATAAAAAGGTTCCCAGACTTCTCTACAAATCACTTATCTATTTTCTTGAACTTCTTTACTGGACTGAATTACTTTCACCTATGAAACAAATATCTTGCAAGAACATGGTAGAGTAACTAAGAAATAGACTAAAGAATTCTGGCCCTGGCCAGTTTTGCTCAGCGGTTAGAGCGTTGGCCTGCGGTCCGGAGAGACCCGGGTTCGGTTCCCGCTAAGGGCACGTACTTCGGTTGCAGTTTGTCCCCGGCCCTGGTTGGTCGTGCGGGTGGCAGCCACTCGATGTGTCCCTTCACGTCGATGTTTCTCTCTCTCTCTCCCTTCCTCTCTCTCCCTCCCACTCTATCTGTGCAAAAAATGGAAAAATATCCTCGGGTGAGGATGATAAAAAAAAAAAAAAAAAAAAAGAATTCTGGAAGACTATGATGAGGAGAAGGAAATGAGCTACTTATTATATTTGATATATTATAACATGCTTATTAAAAGTAAGATACAGGATACTTGGAAACATCTGTTCATAAAATAGGAATTAGGACTCCTGTATTCATTTGTTCAATGGTGTGTCCCCAGTGTCTAAAACAGTGCCGGGAATACTGTTAGCCCTCAATTAATATATTCGTTGAATATATATGTGAATGAAAAGAGAAAACAATTATTAAATTTTAAGAAAGATGCCTGGCCAGTTTTGCTCAGTGGTTAGAGCGTTGGCCTAAGGACCAGAGAGTCCTGGGTTCAATTCTGGTCAAAGGCATGTACCTTGGTTTGGTTCCCAGCCCTGGTTGGGGTCATGGGGAAGGCAACCAATCAATGTATCTCTCTCACATCAATGCCCCCCCCCCCCGACTATGTCTGAAAATAAATGGAAAAATATCTTCAGGTGAGGATTAAAATAAGTAAATACATTTTTTAAAAGGTTCTTAATTGGCCTCAATGCTCTGAGCACTCAATATTCTACCCTACTCTTTCTCTTTGGCCTCTTGTTGCTAAGTTGCTTTAAAAAATATAAACTGCAATATATTAACTTAATAAAGGTTATAATAAGCATTTTAATACTAAATTATTAACCTCTAAAATGTTAAAACAAAAATCTTAATTTAACATATCATCAGACACAAAGTAAATGATACCCGATATTTTGCACAAATTTTTAGGTATCTCTCAAGCTCCATTTTGCAGTTTTGGAATTTAAAGGCAAACACATCCATTGCTGGATGAGAAATGTGAAGTTTATCATCTTACCAGGTCTTTCCTTCCCAGTGCCTTTTGATTCAGCAAATTTTTGTATCAAACTTTCAACTGTAGTGTTAGCCATGTTATTTATAAATTCTTCATGGACCTATTAAAATGAGATAAAGATAAATATTCTTACTGTATGTCAGACAAAACTTCTATAAAGCAATTAAAATTCATTACACCAAAATATATCTTTTTTAACCCAGAGACTTTGAAAACTTTCATTTACTTAACATGTTCTGTTACCTAAGAGTGTCAGTAGATCTGTGGGCACCAACTACTGTTTACATGAACCCCTGAAGATATGGCTGCATGGCCTTAGAATTAAATGCAGCTTCCTGTGCCCACCTTGGAATGTTTTAGAACATAATCCTTATGATAAATAAAAATTACAGGCAATTAAGACAGTTTAAGATCTTTAATAATAAAGAATAATAGATTTCATCTTTCTCTACTATATTTCAATGCATCCCAAATTGTGATCATTAAACCACTTTTATATTTTTGGAAAATTTCTAAACACAACTTATACAACTTACTATTTACTGAAGCTGCTGTTCTAACTTTTAAAACAGTAAAACTTTGCCCTGGCCAGTTTGGCTCAGCAGTTAGAGCGTTGGCCCGTGGACCAAACACGGGTTCAAGTCCGGTCAAGGGCACGTGCCTGGGTTGCAGGTTTGTCCCCTGCCCTGATCGGGGTCATGCGGAAGGAAATCAATCGATGTGTCTCTCTCATATTGATGTTTCTCTCTCTCTCTGCCCTCCCTCACTCCCTCCCACTCTATCTGAAGATAAAATAAATAAACTAGTAAAATTTCAAAAAGATATATTAAGAAATTAGTAACTTCAGAATTTTAATGTAAAGGGAACCAAACATAATTAATTTTAAAAGTTTAATTTGGCCCTAACTTTTATATTTTTGGAAAATTTCTAAACACAAATTGTACAACTTACTACTTACTGAAGCTGCTGTTCTAACTTTTAAAACAGTAAAACTTTGCCCTGGCCAGTTTGGCTTGGCAGTTAGAGTGTTGGCCCTCAGACCAAAGGGTCTTGGGTTCAAATTCCCAGTCAAGGGCACATACCTGGGTTGCAGGTTTGATCCCCAGTCCTGGTTGGGGCCAGGTGTGGGAGGCAACCAATCAATGGGTCTCTCTCACATCAATGTTTCTCTCTCCCCCTCCCTCCCTTTCTATCTAAAAAAATCAATGGAAAAATATCTTTGGTGAGGATTAACAAAAAATACATAATTTGAATTATCATCCTTGGTGGCCAAGCAATAAAAAACTCAGCCTATTTTACATTTAATACATGTAAATACATAATTTTTTTCCTGCCTTGCTGAAGCAAGGCCACCAACAATTTGGTTGCCTCCCACACGAAAAAAATGGGAGAGAGAGAGAACATATAACTACATAATTTTTATCTGAAATAATTTAGTATATTAAGTTATGAGTTTGAGATTTTTAAAAGAATCATAAATGAACATAAAATGTTCGTGGATCAGGTCAACAGAAGTAAAAACTTACCTGGCCTATTTGCAAATGAATTTCCTTTACAGCATTTGACAAGGATCCTATAATTTCCTTTATGTGAATGAGATGAGTTTCTTCAATGTCTTGAAATTTCTGAGCAGCAAATATAAAGAGTTACATATGTAAAATATATATATGGCACATATGTATACATATATGCTGAAATAAAAAGACCTTTTAGAAGTTATCTCAAGACAGATAACCAAATTTAGCAAGTTACTCATGTAATGTTTAGGAATGCTTCTAGACAAATGCATTTAGTAAACATATTAAAATATAGCAGTAAGAAAAGTTAACTTTTTGTTATGTCATTTCTCAAGTAAACATAAACTTTTTCAGAGTTTGAAGATAGCACAAATTAAATCCTATCATTGTGGTCAGAAAATAAGAAAATCCAGAAGATAAGAGTATCATAAAACCCATAGGAGAAGTGTTTCAAAAACTGAAAAACAATTAGTCAGCAGAGCAAAAACTGCCATTTACTTCTGAAAACTTTACCACAGGCTCTCAAATGTCTTTCTAATCCTTGCAATATTAATATGTAGTCTTCAAAAGAGATATTCTGTGGTCAAATAAATTTGGGAAGCCTATAAAACTCTACCTTAGCAGTTATCAGTTAATGGTGGGAATGCATCAGATCACCTGGAGAATGTTTTTAAACTACAAAACACACAGCCCAGCCAGCATGGCTCAGTGGTTGAGCATCAACCCATGCACCAAGAGGTTGCCAGTTCGATTCCCTGTCAGGGCACATGCCCAGGTTGTGGGCCCAATCCCCAGTTTGGGGCATGCAAGATGCGGCCAATGGATGTTCTCTCTCGTTGATGTTCCCCACCCTCTTCCTCTCTCTCTAAAAATCACTAAAGAAAAAAAAAAAAAACTACAAAACACATAGATCCTCCACTGCTACCTGGGGGGATGAGGGCAGAAAATGGTGAAAATGTTGTTTGGAAAAAATTCCCAGGTTATCTGGTATTTATTCCCCAGTAAGAAAAACCCTGCCAGTCTTGGCTTCACCATAAACGTTAAAAAACTGAAAATTACTGAATTAGAAAAAACATGTTTCATTGTGCTTAACCTAGTATTTTCCAAAATCCTTTGACTAAACAACCATTTTGTCTTTCTTTGTTTTTTCATTTTTTTTTTCCTTTATTGATTTTAGAGAGAGGGGAAGGGAGAGGGAGAGAAAGAAACATCGATGTGCGAGAACACTGACTGGCCGCCCACTGGGGATTGGGCCCACAACCTGGACATGTGCTCTGACTGGGAATCGAAGTGGCGACCTTTTAGTGCAAGAATCAACGATAAACCACTGAGCCACACCAGCTGGGCCAACCTTTTTATCTTTCTTCGTCTCTGAATATCTATTAATATCTCACAGAACAGTATTCCTCAAAACAGGATTTGGGAAATGCTGGACTAGTCATTTTAAAATAACATACATTTTGCCCAGCCTGTGTGGCTCACTGGTTGAGCATTGACCCACCGTGCACCAAGAGGTTGCCAGTTCAATTCCCAGTCAAGGTACATGCCCAGGTTGTGGGCCCAATTCCCAGTGGGGGGCATGAAGGAGGCAGCCAATCGATGTTATCTCTCTCGTCGATGTTTCTACTTCTCTCCCTCTCCCTTCCTCGCTAAAAATCAATAAAGAAAAATAAAATAAAATACATTTTATTTCCACTGCACAAGCCAGATTACCTTTTTCCCCTCAAATGAAATCAGTTCTAAGAAATAAGTCTAAATGCTTTGTTATTTTTTCTCTGGTTAGTTTATCAAGTTACATTCCATCACCCCATATTTAATGTCCAGTTTTCTTCAACATTAAATTCCATGATCAAAAATCACTAAGCCAAATGATCATGTCCACATTTGTGTTAAGCTTCTAAACTTCTTGAAAAAAATAACAATGCAATTATAGTTTTGACAATACTGCAACAATAATGCAAATACTTCAATCAATTTTATTCATGAGGAATGGCAGAGTTAAAATAGAGTGCTTGTTCTGACGAATTTTGACCAAGTCAATGAGAATACCAACATTGTGAGATCTTGAATTAGTCTCAAGAACTGAGGAATATTCAGCAGGAACATGATTCTATTTTATGTCTGTATTATAAGAAGTAACTCTCAGTTTAAATTTTTATAACTTAACAAGATATTGTCTCCTAGACAGGCAGACCCAAATCCAGAAAAGCTTGGTCAAAACTGCATATGACCCCTAATTCCAAGAAAACTATAGCCTTCTCACTCTCTTTTGAAACAGCTACAGTGAATAATGCAGATCCTTAATTATTTAGAAAAATCTTGAGCATAGAGCCACACACAAACTCAAAGCATGATTCAAATGCAATTCTGAAATTGTGCTGAGTTTTGCCTTGGCCAGTTTTGTGCAGTGGTTCGTGTCGGCCCATGAATCGAAGGGTCCTGGGTTCAATTTCCTGTCAATGGCAAGTACCTGGGTTGCAGGGTCAATCCATTAGGGCCTGGTGTTTTGGAATTCAGTATTTGGTACTTCTTAAATAAAGATAATATGGTGTTACCATATATTTCATAATACTATCAACAGGATCTGCAGTAGCATGTTTATCAAAAACATTAGTATTTGTAAAAGAGAACATGTATATTTAGTCTAAGCAAAGACAATATAAATAGCTTCACATCAGTTTAAGTCAAGTTTTGCTGTAAAATGAGTTATTACAAAATGCTTTTGGCCCTGGCCAGTTTGGCTCAGTGGTTAGAGCATCAGCCTGCAGTCCAGAGAGACCCAGGTTCGGTTCCCGCTAAGGGCACATACCTTGGTTGCAGTTTGTCCCTGGCCCCGGTTGGGTCAGGGCCGTGTAGGAGGCAGCCACTCGATGTGTCCCTTTCACGTCGATGTTTTGGAATCCAAAATTGTGGATAAGGGACTGTGAATAGTAGTATGTCCAGCCCAGTTTACTAAGATCCTCCAAAATTGCCCATTTGTTGTCTCCACTTAGGTATAGGCTGTTCAAAACTAAACATCTGGCCCCCTTCTGACCCCTCAATCTAACAGTTCTTCATCTAGTCTTTCCCGTTCATCTCTCTCCATATAGACTTACAAAACAAAACCCAGAACAGATCTTGATCTCCCTAGAATTCTTCCATCCACCCCACTCTTGCCATCTTCAAATGCATTTACTTCTCTTGTTCTCCAAGGCCGCCACATTGGCCTCATCCTTCTCACCTCACTACTAACTGCCTTCCAAACTGGACTCTTGATTCTCCTCTGTCCTCACTATAATCTATTCTTCACAAAACTGCCAGAATTATCTTTTAAAATGTAGACCAGATCATGTCACATCCTTGGATACTATCCTCCAATGTCTTCAAACTACTCTGAGAATAATCTCAAGCCTCACCATCACTTCTCCTTCCTCAGCTTTAGTAAACATTTTTTTACTTTCTATAATGTGATGGCTCTTTTAAATCTCTGGGTCTTCGTACCTATGGTTCCAAATGGCTGGAGCCCTCTGGCCCTAGAATGAGTCTCTTACTCATTCTTCATCTCAGTTTTAAATGCCACTTCTTCAAAAATGCCTTTAACTCCCTAATCCAAATTAGGTTCATTCTTCTTATTATCTCTCATGGAAGACTATTCTTCTCCCTTGTAACACTGTAGTAATTTACACCTTTATATTTAGGTATGTATTTAATGTCGTATCCCTCCTCTATACTACCAGAGCAGGGAGATACTTGTTTTACTTACGTAGATAGAGAATACACCCAGCACCTAGCACAGTGTCCAAAACATGGTAAATAAGGATGGATGCATGTATGCCTACATGCAGCAAGCCTTTTGGCTTCTGAGATGTGAGTCCTTCACCACTCCCAGGGAGAAGACTCCCTAGAGTCCAAAAAGTCAGATTCATAAGTCCTTCTTTTACCTTTACTGAATGCCCACCACGATCTGAAAACTGTTTTAAATGCTGAGAAAAATATCATTAAACAAGTCAATGACTGCTCTCACAGAATTTACATTTTTGTGGGAGAAGACAGACAACAAAAATATGAGTAGAAGAGCCAGTGTGCTTCACCATGTTTCTAGCTCCTCCAACATGATGACTAAGAATAATGTTCTAAGAAAAGGTTCCTCCACCAGCCTCAGTACCAGAGTGATGATGACGCAGCTGACTCATGATGAACAAGTAGCATAACAAATAAACCCTTGTCATTGTAAGCCACTGAGATTTAGGGGTGGGGTGGGGTCTTTGTTACCTCAGCATATCCAGCCTATCTTGACTAATACAATAAATAAAATTCATGGTATGTTACATAATTAAAGGTGCTACGGGGGGGGGGGGGCATGGTAAGAGGACAAGAAAGTAGGGATGGAAGTTTTAGGAATGATTCATAAAAGGCACTGATCTTAAACCTAGGCCTTTAATTAAGGCTCTAAGAACAACAAATCAAATATAATTATCCTAAGCTAATGAAGGACATTTTTTTTATTGTGTTTTCTTTCATTAAAATGGAAGTTCTATGTAATAAGTAGAGAGTTTTGTTTTAACTGCTAGATCCTTAGCACTGAGTCATTTCCAGTTTTTTCTGAAGCAGAGGTCAATTTTAAAATCCATATATAAGATCAACAGTCAGTACTGTCTTCATCATTTATCAATGTCCTCATTTTCCCCAAATTCTCTTTAAACAAAATGTATATTTTTAAAACAGCATTATTAAAACATTAAGTTAGTGCATTTTAACATTTCTAATACTAAAATATTATGACAAAAAAAAACAGTAAACATAAATATCCTGTTTTATATTTAAAGCCTTAAAAATACCAACCTGAGCTGTTTCTGTCATTTTCTGTTCAAAATCAGCTTTCGCTAATGCATATTTTTCCACATAGAGTTTATAGGTATCTGTAGCTTTCTTAGACTTAACACCTGCCTGTAACAAAACAAAAACATTTTGAACTACAAAGTGACCTTTCTTCTTTCTTGATGTAAGTTAACATGTAATAACAATTTAATGCATTTTAAGGGATGAGGCCTACACTGAATTGAATATGACATAAAACTAACTTTAATATCTTTTTTCAAGTCCTCCATAGTGATATTTTTTGTTCTAGTCACACAATAAAACAGAAATTAAACGCCGATACTGTCTGATGGAAAGTGCTTTGAAAACTTAAAATAGTCTCATTTTATAATCCAGAGTAGGATCATATAACCACATTATAATGATACGTTACTAAAAATTCAGTGGACAAAAATGTGACACCACCATCAGAATATGTTTGATACTCCTTTCTACACCTATGAGTCTTTCTGCTTCCCTCACAACGTAAACATCCCACTGAATGTCTGATTAATCACTGTAAAGCTAGCTCAGCAGTTGAGATGAGTTTTCCTTGATGTCTCAATTTCCATTATACTCTAGCAAATCTGTAAATTTGTTTTTAATCACTGCCTATTTTTCCAAGATTTTAATTTTTTAAAAAATGTTACTATATTATTACGGTTCTAGTGCTAATATATTAAATATCGAGCAGTGAAGAATATAAAGATAAATTATATAGGTATATTTTCCTCAGTGACTTCATGAAAGAAGAATAACATACATAAACTACTAGAAATTGGTAGAAAGTAACAAAGCCACGGAAGTAAAGGTAAATTCTGTGCAAGACAGACATTCAGGAAAAGGAAAAACTATGTGTAACTTATAAATTGGGACAGACACATAGCTATCAAGAAAGTTGACTATTCTCAAAGGATTGATCAATTTAGACAAAAGAAGTTTGAAGAAGAAAAGATGTTGAAGTAAGTAAGCTTAAAAAAGATTTTTTTAGCCCAGCTGGTATGGCTCAGTAGTTGAACATCAACCCATGCCCCAAGAGGTCGCCAGTTCGATTCCCAGTCAGGACACTTGCCCAGGCTGTGAGCCAAATTCCCAGTGAGGGGCATGCAGGAGGCGGCCAATCGATGTTTTCTCTCACTGATGTTTCTCTCTCTCCCTCTTACTTCCTCTCTCTAAAATGAACAAAGAAAAAACAATTTTTACAAACAGATTTTTTTTTTTTTTTTTTAAAAAGAAGCTTTAGGATTTCAAGATACAAAGATCTTAATTTTCTTGATGAGGCAAGAGACGGTCTACTAAGAGTAAAGAAGAGCAGGGTAGAGTTGGGAGCTTCTGGAGAATGAAAAACATTTCAAACCATGATTGTGGAGGAAGCAACAGGTAATAGTTTGATGAGTAAGAGTATTGCTAAGAGCCATGGAGAATTAAGTAAAACTGGAAAAGATGGAATTGGTGTATAATAAGAATGAATATGTAATAATCACTATCTTCAGAAGTCTAAGAATAAGAATTAGAAAATTGGGCCCTGGCCAGTTTTGCTTAGCAGTTAGAGCGTCGGCCTGCAGACCAGAGAGACCCGGGTTTGCTTCTTGCTTAGGGCATGTACCTCGGTTGCAGTTTGTCCCCAGCCCCAGTTGGGGTCCTGCAAGTGGCAGCCAATCGATGTGTCTCTCTCACATCACTGTTTCTCTCCCTTTCTCTCTCCTCCCTTCTCTCCCCCTCCCACTTTATCTGAAGATAAATGCAAAAAAAAGTCCTCGGGTGAGGATTAAAAAAAAAAAGAATTAGAAAATTGGGTTTATCTGAAAATTTGGGATTTGCAAGAATGCATAGAACCCTATTCTCTAAAAAAAGTTACTATAATCTCTCTAAAATGTATTATATTAAACATATATGTTCTATGCTTTTCTGCCTTCTTGAATAAATATAGAATGCCACTTCATCACGTTGTGTAAAGAAAATGGTTTTGGAGCCAAAAGAAACAGGATTCAAATTCTGGCTCTACCATTTACTATCCATTTGGACTTTGTCTTTGAGCTTTATATAGTTCTCTCATTCCTAAAAGTGGGAACAATATCACCTATTTTTTTATGCTTGGGACAGGATCCAGCATATAGTTTAACCTACAAAATAAATGGTATCTGCTCTTATTATGGTTTCTAAAAGGAATATAATGAGGAACATATATCATTATACTTTGCTGTTATTATATCTAAGAGTTGTACCAAACTCTCCATCCCTAAAGTAAGTGGCTATAATGATTTTCTAGTTTGCTCTTATGGATATTTTATTTTTTTACTCTTTCCCCAATAAAACCTTATTTTATATACTACATTACTATACCTTCCTCTAACATCCTGGCCCCGTTCAAACACAACAATCAAATGAGATAAATATTTAGAGTTTACTAAATACCTTCTTAGGGAACCCAGAGAGCCAACTTTGCTAGAATTTATTTTAGAAACAATTTTAATAGCATGGTTATCAAGGTTTCTTTTTGGATTTTTTATGCCAAGAGATTTTACTTTCTTCTTTCAACTCCCTAAATTTTCAGAGTGTACAACCTTCAGTCCATAAAGTAATTTTCAATGACATAGCCTAGCAAAATGATGCACTCCCACTGATAGCTCCTCCTTCTTTTCTTGTTCCTCATCCTAGCACCTACTCTTTTTCTCTGCTGCCTAACAATCTGTGAGTCAGCTGTTGATAAAGACATGAACTGTGATCACCCCTAGAGATATCTGCATTTTGAAAATTAATAAAAATACAAAATTCCCCCAAAATATAACCATAGTGATTGTGTCCACACTTTTAATTATTTACATGTTTTCACTGATTTTAGAGAGAGAAGAAAAGAGAGGGAGAGAGAGATAGAAACATCGATGAGAGAGAAACATCTACTGGCTACCACCTGCCCACCCCCCACCGAGGGTCAAGCCTGAAACCACAACTGGGGTATGTGCCTTGACTGGGAAATGGAACTGGTGACCTCCTGGTGCATGGGATGATGGCTCAACCAACTGAGCCACACCGGTCAGACAATCGTGTCAATACTTTTAAAAGTAATTTATTTCATGGGATCTTTCCTATTTTCCTAATACAGATTCTGCACATAATAAAATACCTCCCCTTCTATCCTACATTAAAATCTCTCTCTAACCTCTTGCTCTGCGCTAATCAATATGTCTTTCCCCAAAAAAAGAAAGATTCTTGGAAACAGAAGGAGATAATATGTATTTAGCCTTTAGTAACCTTCTTAACATCTAGCACATAACATGACAGGCACACAGTAGGAAGTAAAACATTTATTTACTATTTCACACAAATTATCATTTCATAATCTAACAATCAGGAAAATATTTGAATTAATTATTGAAAACAGGCAAGAATCTAGTCTACAGCCTGTATTTAAAATAAACTCTTGCCCGGCAGGTGTAGCTCAGTGGTTGAGCATTGACCCATGCACCAAGAGGTTGCTGGTTTGATTCCCAGTCAGGGCACATGCCCAGGTTGTGGGCCAAATCCCCAATGATGGGGCATACAGGAGGCAGCTAGTCAATGTTCTCTGTCACTGATGTTTCTGTCTCTCTCCCTCTCCCTTCTTTTCTCTCTAAAAATCAATAAAGAAAAAATAAATAATAAAAGAATAAAATAAATTCTTATTTTTTTATTATAGTTATAAACAGGAAAAATTCAAACAATATTTTGCTATAACAATTATTTTTCCAAGTAAACAGATTTGCTATGTTGCAGACAATAATGGTTTCTCACAATGGATTTATAATCTATTAGAAATAAAAGATGACTGCCTGGAGAAATATTACTCCATATAGAAGAAGACCTGTAATTTTTTCACATTATTTGTTACACTTAAAATTATAGCACTTTTAGAGATGGGAGGAGGTTCCTGAAACATCATTTCCTCTTCCTATATTCAAATAGTTTCTAGAATTCTTTCTAACTAGTTTTGGTACTCAAATCTTTACTGAGTCAAGAGGGGTAGAAATATTAATTATAAAATTTAAACCAATATATTTGTATAACCTTTTCCCTCTATATATCCTCACCATAAATCTTGGTCTAGCCATTCAACTCAGCATATCAACTTATTTGTTCACTATTTCTAATCATGAAATTATTATCTTCATCTCAAAGGTTAAGAGCTAGATCTAACACGGACTTGTGAATATGTAAGTCTTTTGGAACATACTTCCTGATAACAGGAAATTATAAATTTTCATTTATCTTATTTGGAAGCATGAAGAAAGAAAAAGATACCCTTTCTAAATTCTAGCTTACATTTTTTACATAAGCTGGCACTCTTCCAAGGTAAAAATATTCTAGAATCTTAAGGAAATTACATACCAACTTAAAAAAGCATCTTGGAAAATTGACAAAAGAAGTACCTAGTAATAAAATAATTAAAATAAAAAATGTTGTTGATTCACAGTGTTTTTTTTAATTAATTGATTTATTTTTGTTATATGTTTCTCCCCCCCCCCACTGATACTCCCCCCCCCCTCCCCGCCCTGTCCCCAGCTTTGTTGTCCATGTCATTGTTCATGCATACATGCATATAAGTTCTGTGGCTTATCTCCCCCCACCCCCTCTTCAGGGGATTGTCAGTCTGTACCCCACTTCCACGTCTCTGGTACTACCCCATTCCTCAGACTGTTATGTTCATTATATTCCCCAAATAAGTGAGACCATGTGATATTTGTTTTTCTCTGCTTGGCTTGTTTCATTTAGGATAATACTCTCCAGGTCCCTCCATGTCGTCTCAAAGGATAAGAGATCTTTCTTTCTTCCAGCTACATAGTACTCCATTGGATTCACAATATGTTTTAAATAACGATAAAAGCAAATTTAGAGAAAACTAAGTTCATGACTGGGTAGCTTAGTTAGGGTGTTGTTCTGATATACCACGGTTGTAAGTTTGATCTCTGGTCAGGGCACATATAAGAATGTACAAATAAGTGGAATAATAAAGCAAACTCTATTTCTCTCTCTCTCTTCCTTCTTCCCTTTTCCTTTCCCTTTTTCTATCCTTCTAAAATCAATCAATAAAAATAATAAAAAAAAGAAAACTA